GAGACAGGGAAATCTGGATTTTTGGTGTGGCGTTACCTGCTCAGGAGGGACGATGAAGAACCTGCTCCTTGGACCAAGGAGGGAAAGGACAGGATGAAAAAGCTTGGCCTAACAATGCAGGTACTCCCTTGGCACATCACCTGGACACTGAACTTGATGGATAGGAGGAATTTTTCTGCTCCATGCTCTTATTGAGGATGATCCTTACGTGACAATTCAGGCTGAGGGGGGGCACAAATTCTTCCATACCTGTGAGATTTTTTTTTTCTTTATACATCAGGAGGCTGAAAGGGCAAAACCTCACTTTTTTTGGTACAAAATTTCCATAGTCTGCATAAGTGCTTCAACAAGAGCAGGGATGTGTTGCTTAAAATAGATTAAAACTGCCCCCTGGAGCAGTTCTCCAGAGGTCAGCCTTGGACCTGTATTGGTCTGTTAAGTCTGAACTGGTGTGTCTGCATTGGATGCTCTTTGTTTTCTTTCCTTGTAGTATCCTGAAGGATATTTGGAAGCTGTTGCAAATAAAGATAAGGAAAAAGAAAATAGTGGAGAGGATGAGTTCGATACCCCGGGGAAAGGAAAGAGGAAAAGGAAATCAGCAGGTTTGTGGAGTAGGCAAGTGGATATAGAAAGCCTTGTAGGTTTTTTTGTGCATTTTACTTAATGACTCTTTTCTGGTGGTTTTTTTTATTTGGTTGTTGAAAAAAAAAATCACTGTGTTTGCTTTCAGGTGGGGAGGAAAAACCTGTCACTTCTCCAGCAGGGACCCCAAAGAAAACTAAAGTTGAGCCATACAAGCTGACAGCCCAGCAGAAATCTCTTATAAAAAGTGATGAAGCCAATGAAAAACTGTGGAATGAAGTACTAGAGGCTCTCAAAGATGGACCGGTATATCCTGCTTTTTATCCCTAGAAATAAAGGGACTTTATCCCCAGAAATAAAGGGACTTTATCCCCAGAAATAAAGGGATGACTGTAGCTGTGCTGTCCCTGGATACAAACCTTGGCTGCATCAAAGAAACAGCCTCAGACCTGCAGTGGTTTTATTTTAGTGGGGACATCCCCAGCACGTTTAATGGGACCGTTTTTACACTTCGAGATTTATGGGAAAACTTTCCATGACCGAAATAATCCCTTACCTTTAACATGGGGGGGGGGTTCTGGGTTTCAGAGGGTAGTGGCAATAAGTTGATTCCGATGTTGCCTTTCCAGAAATTCCTAAACAAAGTGGAAGAGGCCTTCCTGTGTATCTGCTGTCAGGAGGTCGTGTTCCGGCCCGTCACGACCGTCTGCCAACACAACGTGTGCAAGGTGAGGGACCCTGGGCCCTGCTGAGCTCAGCCTGGAGACAGACCTGGCCAGGGCTTGGTTCCTTTGGGATTTCTGCCAGGAATTAGTCCTTTAGCAT